CCATGATGCCCAATCCTCCCCAGAGAACTTCTCTAGGTTGAATGGCTTCACATCATCCTTGGCTGGTGTTGTAACGGATGCTATTGGTGCAGATCCGCCTACAACGCCTTTTCCTGCTTCCCCAGCGCCTCTCACGCCACCACTGCCACTAGGACCAGCTGGAGCAGAACCTTCAGCCTCCATATTGACCCAGGAACAGAGAAGAACCGCTCTGATACCACTTGTTATAGTCTAGAGTCCACTTAGGGGTCGTAGATGCCCTTGAAACCACCTAAGCAGAATCTGATGACTTCGAACTGCCTCTGTTCAAAACGCCGTCACGATCAGCTCCAATAACAAACGAGGCTGAAACTTGGACAGACGTTAGCTTCAGGTGTCTGCTTTCCAACGGTATATGGCTTGCTTTCATCAGAGGTGTATGCGCTACGCAGTGAACAAAAGCGTAAGCTCGGCTGAAAAACGAGTAGCTTCATTGATGCAAGGAAGAGGTTTAGTACAACATTGCCTAGGGGACTCTTAAGGGGTTGGGACCATCCTGGGAACTCAGAGAAGGTTGAGTCCTAGGGGAGAAAGGCTAGAGAAGGATGGGAAACGTCCTAGCTAGGTCAGCAAAGCCAACCACACTTGGATGTTCAGAGCTGTACTCTAGGCTACCAATAGTGAGTCAAGCCAACCATGAGTCAGCTTGTCTTCCCACTTGCACCCTCTTGCAAGCTGCTTCCAGGAAGACCACACTTCTCAAAAGGAGGGTGGTAGAGTCCCACTTGACCACCTGTACTTCTTGTCTCATTCTCTGTCCCTGCACCATTGGCATGACAACAATGAAAGGGTGGCAAGGGAAATGCTGCCAACAGTGCACCATGACTACGGAACAGTAACTTTCGACAGCTGTCACGTGCTGCTCCGATGCTGGGTTGTCCTGAAACTCGGTGACCACCTGCAAAACATGGAAAAGGACTGCCACACCGATTTTCAGACTAATCAGAGCTCGTTAGATGAGTCAGCAGCCGAAATGGTGAACTCGGGTGTTACCAAAAAAGAGTAACACACACTTCCGGGATGCCATAAGTCTTGAAACTAAAAATGTTGCCATGCCTTGTAAACTGCTTCAAAAATTCTGAAACTTTGAGGGTTTGAAGAACACATGCTGAAGCACCACCCCACAAAATTCCAGAAGCTGAGCAGGCTTTTAGGCTGAATGGGAGTGCGATGACCGTGCCACTATAGTACTTTGGCACAACAGAAGCGGTGCTGAGTGTGAGGCTTCCCGCATGTCTGACCAGCACGGTCACCCGTGCGAATGACATATGGGCAGCTACCACTACCCCCAGACGCCCCACGTTGAGAAAAACACTCACGAAGGTGCTAGGGCGACGGGGTCTCGCTCCGACGCTGCTGCTACTGCATTTGGCCACCTCCCGAACCTCCACGCTGAGTAGCTCCAGCCCTACCGCCGCCACTCCCATTGCCGCCACTACCGCCACCCCCACCGCTGCCACCACCGACTACACCAAAGGCCCCACTTCCGCCACCACTCCCACTACCGCCACCACCTCCACTACCTCCACCACCTCCACTGCTGCCCCCACCACCACCCCTGCTGCCACCGCCACCACCCTCGCCACCCTTGCCCTTGCTGCTGCGGCGCTTCCCACTAGCAGAAGCAGCCCCGACGTCCTCAGCACCAAGGACGGCAACAGCAGCAGCAGAGGCATAGGAGGGGGCAAGGGGGGAGGGGGACAACCCCTCAAAGAAGGGCGTGCGCAGAGTGCCACGAGCAGCACCTACAGCGACTACACTAGTCTCAGCTGCAAGGAGGTGCTGCTCGAGTAGGTCAACAGTGAGGAGTGTGGGGTCAAGTGAGAGAAAGTGGTCCTTGACAGAGCGAAGAGAGTCAGAGAGGCGGGTGGTTATAAAGTAGAGAGTGATGATCATCGGGGGCTGGTTCCTGTCAAGGAACTTAGCTGGGGCGGCAGCACGGTAGCGAGCGTTGCTAGCGCGAAGGTGGGAAACCAGGTCCTCTAATGTGGCAAAGGCGGACAGCTCGGGAAAGAGGTAGGGCAGTAGAAGACGGCCTAGAGCAGCAGTGGCAGGCGAGGAGTAACGAACAACTACAACATCGTACAGTGCCTGTGCTGTCCTGTGCTGTCCGAAGTGAGCGCATTCGGCTAACGGCAGGTCGTTGCGAATGGCTAAGCGAGTAGCAGCGTCACGAGTAAGCCACTGTGAGCGAGTCGCACTGTCAGCTGTGGCGGGAGGGGCGGGAGCGGTGCCAGACGTGTGGTCAAACAACGAAACGCTATCCTTAGAGTCGCTTAGTAGGTACAGCTGCAGGTCGTCGAGCCACGCGTCAAACTGGATAGGGCGGCCCTCATGATCGAACGCGAGAACGCGGAGAGAAGCCATAGCGGCGCAGCACGCAGGGCGGGCAGAGGCCGGGCAGAGCAGGAAACAGGGTAGGCAGCAGCAAGGGGCGGCAAGCAGGCTGCAAGAGGTGGCGCGCGGGGCTGCAAGGGCGGCTCGCGGGCTGCAGGGGCGAGGGGCGGGCCACAATGGGCGGCGCGTGGGGCTTGGGGTCGACGGTCGGGCCGGGGCCTAGGGGCAAAGGGCTGGCCGGGCCTAGGGTCGACGGGTGGGCCGGGGCCTAGGGGTAATGGGCGGGCCGGGGCTTGAAGTCGACGGGCGGGCTGGGCTTGGGTCGACGGGCGGGCCTGGGCCTAGGGTCGTCAGGGCGCGCCGGGGCCTAGGGTCGACGGAGCGGGCTGGGGCCTAGGGTCGACGGGGCGCCGGGGCCTAGGGTCGATGGGGGGGGGGGGGGGGGGGGGGGGGGGGAGGGGGGGGGGGGGCTAGGGTCGACGGGGTGCGCGGGCCTAGGATCGACGGGGCGGGCCGAGGCCGAGGGTCAACGGGGCACGCGGGGCCTAGGGTCGACGGGGCGGGCCTGGGCCTAGGGTCGACGGGGGGCGCCGGGGCCTAGGGTCGACTGGGCGCCGGGGCCTAGGGTCGACGGAGCGAGCCGAGGCTTAGGGTCGACAGGGCGCTGGGGCCTAGGGTCGACGGGGCGCGCGGGCCTAGGGTCTACGGGGCGGGCCGGGGCCGAGGGTCGACGGGGCGCGCGGGGCCTAGGGTGGACGGGGCGGGCCTGGGCCCAGGGTCGACGGGGGGCGCTGTGGCCTAGGGTCGACGGGGCGGGCCTGGGCCTAGGGTCGTCGGGGCGCGCGGGCCTAGGGTCGACGGGGCGGGCAGGGGCTTAGGGTCGTCGGGGCGCGCGGGCCTAGGGTCGACGGGGCGGGCCGGGGCCTAGGGTCGACGGGGCGCGCGGGCCTAGGGTCGACGGGGCGGGCCGGGGCCTAGGGTCGACGGGGCGCGGGGGGCCTAGGGTCGACTTGCAGGCCGCACGAGGGCGGCGTGCGGGGCAGCAGGAGCGGCACGAGGGTCGCTAGGGGCGGCGCGTGAGCCAGCAGGGCGGCTAGAGGGGCAGCGCTGTGGTGGGCCCAAAAAAAATCGGTCCTAACGAAGGACCTGCTCTGAAACCATGTAAAATTAATGAACAAGAAAGAATGCATTGAACAGAAGTTGGGTACAAGTACTAACCCTAATTGGGTTGTACCCCTTATGGGCTACCCCACTATAGCCTACACAAATGTAAGCACTATAATGTTCTGACACTTCTTCCACCCGGCGCTGATCAACATGTCGTTGAGGGCCTTGTACCACAGCAGAGGTGACTGTTTTAGCCCGTAGAGGCTCTTCAGCAGTTTGCACACCCGGCCGGTCCCGTCGTTGAAGTAGTCTGGCTGGTACATGTACAGCACCCGGTCGAGCTTGCTCTGCAGGAAGGCGTTCTTCATGTCGAGCTGCATCAGCTTGAGGTCGAAGACTGCGACGATGCTGAGGAAGATCCTCAGCGTGACGTAGCTGCTCACTGGCACATACGTTGTCACCGCATATGCACTTGATGCATATGCAATAACAGTAGAATGATGGTAGAGTGTGGGCTTCATGCTGCAACCATGGGAAGACTAGATAGTTATAAACGTATGAAACAGGAATAAGTAATAGGTGTAGCATGTAGCAAAGTTACTGTTAGGGAGGGGTGTAGAAGGGGGGAAATGGGAGAGGAGCGGTTGGGATTAGGGGGGAGAAAGCATCGAAGGGCGAAATGTGGAACCTGGTAAATCCCAACCCTGAGCCGCACATTTGGAAATGTGCAGCTCGGGGTTGGGTAAGGTCTCTCACTGCCAACCCCTCCATGCTTTCTCGCTGTAATTCTCTCGAACTAGTGAAAGTTGTTGTCTCACGCTCTAAGCACACTGCAGCACGGCACTAAGAGGGAACCTACGGGGTGAGGGACGTAGCTCTTTCATTACAGCGAGAAAGGGGGGCGTCTTGCAGCGTAGGCGAATATGGACAAGTATGAGCTGCGCTGGGGTAGGATGTTCAGCCGACGTGAGGAGGAGCGCCCGCGACGCGAGCCATCATGATAACGCGGGCGGTCCTGGGAACGATCGCCGCGCCGACCCGCCTTCCGCACGGATCGGGTCCCCCCTGCGAGGGACCGTCGAGGGGAAGGAGCAGAAGATGTGGGAGCAGGCGTCGACGGCCACGCCGGAGGCACGGATCAAAACTTGTGGCTGCGAGAGAGCGCCCGCGGGACTGGCGTGGAAGGCGGAAGCCACCGCGACGCAGGGGTGTTTCACTCGCCGGAAGATCGAGGACGGCGCCGCGATGAGAGAGGCTGTTGGTGAGGATTCGAAGAATGGCCACGAGGACGGGGAGGCAACGGCAGCGGCGACGCTCGCGAAGGGGGCTCGCAAGAGAACGCAGCTCAGGAGGTGACATAGGAGCGGGACGCGGAAGGAACTGAGAGGAACCAAGGGCGGCCGGTCGAGGAGGCGGATGAAGTAGATGGGAATGAAGTGCAGTCAGAGGGAACAAGCGAGGCGGAACCCGGGCCGGCGGAAGAGCATGCGGGAGCAAGTCAGGCGGCAGTCGAGGAGTCAAGGACCACGCTGTAGGAATCTCGTAGTCGAGACGGCAGCCGTGGAGAGGGACAGCGTGCGGAGGGCTCCAGAAGGCAGGAGCGAGGGGCACCAGACGATGGCGCTCAGGATGCACAGGCGCCGAGACCGCACGGTAAAGAAGGGGCGGAGCGGTCGCGCACACCGGAAAAGGGTCAGCACCACGGAGAATGGCGCGTGGGCGAGTTCCGCCCGCATGTCAGGCGAGAGGACCAAGAAGGCGGGAACGGCGGCGGCACGCGTTCGCCGGGACGGCGGCAGGCGCGCGATGACGAATGGAGGGATGAGCCGCGCTCACCCAGGCCACAAGGGCGCCAGAAAGGGAGGCACGGGGCGGAGCGTGTGTCACGGGAGCGGCGCGGTCAACAGCAAGGGGAGCGCAGCAGCACAATGCCCTCGCCGGGATGGCCGAGTCAGCGAGCGCAGCGGGACAAGGGCGGGACCCGCTTGCCCGACTGGCGCCACGCGCGGAGGGAGGAGTACGGAGGGGAGGGGCACTCACCTGAACGCCGCCAGTAGCGCAGCAGGAGGGAAGACGCCTGGTCACCGTCGCCAGAAAGGCGGCCGCTGCACGAGACGGGCAGGGGGGAGGGGCGAAAGGCGCGCGAGCCGCCGACGCCACAATGGGGACAGGCGGAAGAGTGGGGAGGGCTGAGGGAGGGGCTCCACGAATCAGGAGGAAGTCGCCAAGAGGGCAGAACGGAGGGCGGAACCCTGGCGCACGGAGCGCAGCAGGCACGGGAAGCCAGAGAAGGCATGCAGAGGGCGAGGGTGAGGGGAGCGGAGAGGGGTCGGCCAGGGGGAGCCAGCGAATCATGGGGAGAGGGGTGAGTGGGTGCCGCCAGCACCCCGCGAGTGGAAGTGCCCGCCAGGTTCTCGGGCGACCAACGCGCGGGGCCTACCCTCAAGAACTACCTGATGCAGGTGGGGAATGTGCAGTACCGCTGTGACCGGCACAACATGGACCCAGTAGACTTCTTTTTTAGCTTGCCAAACACGCAGGAGGGAGAGGCCGAGACGCTGTACCGCATGAGGATGGAGGAACTGCTGTGGAGGGCAGGGAGGTACGGGGAAGATCCCACGGAGGCATTTTTGGAGCGGCTGCAGCGGCAATTCCCTGGTCACATGGCGGAGCGTATAAGGGAATTCCAGGAATTCAGCAGGGGCTGGGCTGAGTCACTGTTGACCTACTACAACAGATTGATTAATGTGGTGGAGGACGTGAGATGCACGGATAACAGTCTGCTCATCAGCAAGCTCCTCGGAGGCTTGGATGAGGCCTTAGGAGGTGGGCTGAGGATGAGAGTGTATGAGCTGGGCGCGGAAGCAAGCCTGGAGGAGGTGTTCGATCTGGCAGAGAGGGTGGAGCTCGCACAGAGGAAATACGAGGCTTATCTCCCCAGGCCAGCGGAGAGAAGCCGGAGGACAACATGGGCGGCGGCAATAATACCGGAAGGGGGAGGGAGGACGGATGGACGGGGGGAGTCAGGGACTGACACCAGGACATGTCACAGGTGCGGGCAGCCAGGGCATCTGCGCAGGGACTGCAAGAACTGTGACGGGTGTGGGAAGCCAGGGCACAGGAAGCGGGAGTGCCCAGATGCAGCCAGGTGTGAAATCTGCAAGAAGCGGGGGCATGGGCCGAAGGATTGCTACTAGAGAGAAGGGGGGATTAGGAGGCATCCGGAGGAGCTACAGTGGCAGATTAGTAGGTTGCAGGCACAGCTCAGGGCGACTGGGCTGAGAGGGGAGGCAGAGGCAGGGATGTACGCCAGAGATGAGGAAGGGGAGGAGGTGGAGCAGGACATGCAGTGTGCCCTCATGGCTTGGAGAGGAAGGGAGGAGATGGGGCTGAGGAGCGGAGGCAAGGATGGCAGGCGGGGGCAGGGAAGGAAGGAACAGGTGAAGGGAGAGAAGCCAGTTGAGCCAGCCCTGGAGCAAGCCCCCGCACGCCATCCCCAAGAGGGGCTGGCGTGCCAGACCTCGGTGCTACTGCTGGTGAAGGGAGCCATGGAAGTGGAGGGAGAGAAGGTAAAGACAGCCATCATAGACACGGGGGCACAGAGTGTGATGTTGGGCAGAGGGATGGCTGAAAGGCTAGGATTGCTGGCGTAGGAGAGGCATGTGGCAAAGGGGATGTTGGTAATGACGGCGGAAGGGGGGGAGCCGAAGTGGATGCCATGCACCCGAACGCCCATAGAAGTGACGCTGCTGCCGGGGGGGGAGCATGAGACCAAAATCCGCATGAAGTGTGGGATTTCTGAGTCGGAAGACTTTGATGTGCTAGTAGGCACCGAGCTGGTGTATGTGGTAGGGATGACGATATGCACGTGGACGGAGAAGGTCGAGTTTAGGACGAGGTACTGGAAAAGGAGGGGCCGCTGGGAGAGCTGCCAGTGCGGTTTGTGAAAGTGGAGCCGAAGAGGGCGTACCAGGCCGTGGGGGGGCTGCTGCCTGGGGAGCGGGGAGGGACACCAGGGTTGGGAGGAGCACCCAGAATGAAGGGGATGGACAAGCCACAGCAGCAGAGTGTCTGGCAACAGCCCATCCACCTGGTGGAACTGTTTGGGGGGATAGGGGCAGGCCTGTCCGCAGTGGTGAGGAACGGGATAGCAGTGAGGAGGTGGACGTATGTGGAGAAGGAACCCGGGGTCAGGAGGATGGCGGAGCATCATGCCTGGAAGCTACAAGCGGAGTTTCCAGAATTGCTGAGTGAGAGGGTGATTAGAGAAGCCATGGGAGGGACGATCCACGATGTGAAGAAGATAAGTGAGGCGGAGGTGGCGAGCTGGGGGCAGGTGGATCTGCTGGTGGCAGGGTGGGAATGCCAAGGGGTGTCGTGGGCAGGCAAGGGGAAGGGAGAGGAAGATCACAGGACAAGGCTGATGGAGGAGCTGTTCCGAATCCTGGAGTGGCTGCAGGAGAGGCAGGGTAGGGTGGCATACTTGCTAGAAAACCTGGACCTGGAGGGAGACAGCAGAGAGCCGATCCGACTGGTGAGAGACAGAATCAAGGGGCCAGCATTATAGATGGTACCAGCAGCAGCTGCAGGTGCAGACAGAGGATGGGTGGAAGCTGGTGCCGGCCCCAAGCGAGAGAGAAGCAGTGATTAAGGAGGTACACACAAAGCTAGGGCACTTTGGGCACGAGAGGACTGTGCAGCTGCTGAAGACAGGATGGTGGTGGGAGGGGATGCGGAGGCAAGTAAAGGGGTGGGTGGAGGGCTGTGAGGCGTGCTAAAGGAGCAGGGCAAACCTCACCCAAGCCAAGGCAGAGTTGCAGTCGTTGCCCATCCGAGGCCTAGGTTTCAGGTGGTCCTTAGATCTGGCGGGGGAGCTACCGCTGAGCCGGGGAGGGAAGCCGGGGGGGGAAAGACCCAGGAAGGGAGAGAGTCAGGGGCAGGAAGTGTACCTGAAGCGGGCAAAGCAAGATACGCTGGATGTTGGGGTGGGCTCAGAGAGGTGGAGGGTGAAGGAGGTCCGTCCCTCAGGGATCCTGGTTTTAGAAAATGACAAAGGGGCACTCCTGAAGGAGCACCAGAGTAACACGGCTGGGGTGAAGGGGGGCAAGCCTCAAGAGAAGGGTCCTGTGACACGAGCTCAAGCAGCCAGAGCACGAGCACAGGAGGGGGCAGTGGGTAAGTGAGGCTATGCAACAAGGAGAAGGAAGAGACAGGAGAGACAACATGAGAAGAACAGGGGCAGGGAGAAGAGCAGGTCCAGGATGAAGAGCAAGTGCATGAAGAAGAGCAGGGGCTGAGAGGAGGAAGGTTCTCCGACAACGTCTCGTCGTAGTCGGTGCCATACACCTGCGTGAAGCCCTTCACGACCAGCCTTGCCTTCTCGCGCTCGACTGTGTCGTCGATGTGGTACTTCGTCGTCAGCACCCACCGGTTCTTCATGATGTTCACTCCCGGAGGGCGTTCGACCAGCTCCCACGTCCCCATGCCGACGAGGCTGCGGATCTCCTCCTCCATGGCAGCCTTCACCGCCTTGCCCTTCCAGCTCACAAACACCTCCTTCACCGTCATTGTCGAGATGTCCCAACGGTGCTCAGGGTCGGCGTGCATGTCGGGGTCGAGCTCCGGAAAGTCTTCGTCCGCCTCGGCGTCGTCGTACTGCATGTCGTCATCGACCTCGTTGTACGCCGTGGTGAAGGCAGCCGGTACGTAGAAGTCGGGCGGCCTCCGAATTCGGCCTGACTGCTGTGGTCCACGTTGGACCTCCACCACTTCACTGTCGGTGGACTCCTCAGCGTCCCCTCCATCGTCACGAGCTTCACTGCCCTCATTGTCCTGCTGCACCTCAGTCGGCTTCCCTACCGACATCTCCCCTATGGTCGGCTCCTCTGCCGACTGCACTTCCTTGGCCTGCTCCTCCCCTGGCGGCGTCGACTTCAATATCACGTCGACTTGCTAGACGTCACGTCGGCCACCGGCGATGCTCTTGGCCGGCGCCACAGGCGACGCCCCACTTCTCCCCTCATCGCCGGAGGCCGACATCGGAGTCAGCCCACGCAGGTCGGCCACAAGGGGAGGGGCATGGGGGGCAGGGGAGGGGAAGGGAGAGGGGACATCCTCGACGTCCTCAGCAGCAGGCTCACCAACCTCGGCGAGCAGAGGGAGTGTTGTCGTCAAGGTGTCCATCGGCGGGATGGTCGGCGTCCGGCCCGACGCCGGCCCGTGCTCCGACTTCCACACCTCTAGCGACATGTTCTCGTAGAACACCACGTCTGACGTGGTGACTAACCGGTTGTCGGCGATGTCGAGGAGCTTCCAGCCCTTGCTCTCCTCCGAAACGCCGAGGCGAAGACCCCACCTGGCCCTCGGCTGCAGCTTTCCACCACGCTGCTGCTCGGGGACCAAGAACTGCGCCATGTAGCCCCATACCTGTGCCAGCGACAATTCGGCCTTCTTCCCGGTCAGCAGCTGGTATGGCGTCGTCCCCGGCTGTAGCGTCGACCGCTCCAGGCAGTTGCGGACCCAGACGGCCTGCCGCAGAGCGAGGTGCCACCAGTGGTGCTGCACGCCCATGTGCAGCAGCATCGTTCGCACTGACTCCACCACCGTCCTCATCTCGCGCTCCGCCATGCCGTTGTGCTGCGGGGTGTAGGGGCAGGTCAGGTCGTGGACGATCCCCTTGCCATTCACGAAGTCGGTGAATTGCTTCCCAAGGAACTCCACACCCCGATCAGAGCGCAACATCAACACCGACTTCTTTGTCTGCCGTTCAGTCACCGCCAGCCACTGCACGAACTCCTACAGCGCATCCGACTTCTTAGCGACCGGCCTCACCCACACGTAGCGGGTCTTGCGGTCCTTGGCAGCAAGAAGTACAGGCTACAATCCTTGGCAGCCACCCGGAACGGCCCGCACAGGTCGACGTGCACGACGGCCAGCAAGTCGTCGGCGTCGGAGCCCTGGTGGGGGAAGGTGTGCCGCGCCAGCTTCCCTCCGACGCATGAGACACACGGCAAGTCCGCGCCAGACGCCGACTTGAGGTCCAGCCCAATGGCGACCTCGTGCTTTGCCGAGCTCCATATGGTGTTCATGCCGACGTGAGCAAGCCTCGCATGCAGCCTGTCCGGCGTCGACTTTGTCACCGAGACCATCGCCCGCAGGGCCACGACCTCCGTCGTGGGCGTTGTCGACTTCGCCGAGCAGGGACGCAGGTCGGTGCAGAGAACTCGCCCGGTGTAGGACGCCCGTCCGAGGATGTCTCCCGCCAACGAGACGAGCAACATCCCGTCGCCGTCCTCCTGCAGCTTCACGCCGTTCTCCTTCAACTGACCGGCCGAAAGCAGGTTTGCTCGCACGCC